AATCAGAAACAACACTCGGAGTAACAACAGCAACAGCAGCAACAGAAGCAACACTCTGAGCAACAGCAACAACAGTACTGAGAGGAGAAGCCAATCCTCAGAAGAAGACCTCCAAGAAGAAGAATCTGAGGACGATCACGATTTATATTAATCATTTGGAGACTCAGATCAGTCTGTCAATCAATCAACAAAGCACCTGAGCAACAGATGGAACACAGCGAAGAAGAAGATCTTACACAAATACTACAGGATGAGGATGAAACAATTACTGAGGATCAGTTGACCTCCGCAGCCTCAGAAGAAGAAGCTCAGGGAATTGAACCTGAGAAACAGAAAGAAACAAGACCAGAATTAAGGATTACAGAAGATACAGCTCCATTGACGGCAACAGGATCATCAGGATCAGGAAGAATAACAAAGCCAGTGGAGAAATATGACCCCTCCCCGAGACCAAGAACATCAAGAGCAGGACAGGTCCAGTTGTACCCAAGTCATTAAGACGATGAGGCTCTTCAATAGTGAAATCAATCAAGTCTGCACTCAATGAAGCCTGGGAGAGCTCTCCTCAAAGAATGGGACCATCAACCAGGAGAAGGAGCAGGTCGGGGGAGACCAGAGCAGCTTCGTTGGAGAAGCTAAACTAGAGAGGGAGTATCAAAATTAATAAGTCACTTTGTGTTGACAGAAGGACAAGATATTCAGTAGAAAATAGGTCAGCTAGTAGACAAGAAAGTAGGAATGAAGGAGAAAGTAGTAGTTGGACAGACAGTGAAGACGACATTGACAAAAGAAAAGAGGGTGGGATTCATGTCATTGGGAAAAGAAAGGTTTTAATTGCAAAAGTAGAAAAAACAGTAGTGATTCAGCCCAGGCAAGGAAAATGGATACCAGTTAGCGTTGATAATTTAAATAGAAAAAATAACAATGAGTTTTTAATTCCAGTGTTATTAAATACAATCATTGAACGAAACCTAGTGGTATCCAAATTCTCACCCCCAGGCAGGTGCACTACGTTCTCCATTCATGTACATGATAAACAATAACGATATCTTTATGCAGGTCAGAAAGGGCGAGACGTTGGCCAGGCTGGTGAGCCTAGAGACTCGAGGCGGAGACGAGGCGGAGAATGGGCCAGAACAGACAAGAGAGCAGGAAATGCAACACTCCCTCTAATGTTCTTTGGTCTAGTGGCAGCATTGGTGGTACCCACAAAGGGTGAGGAGAATTTCGGAGTAGTCGGATATGACTGCTCAGAACCCACCAATATATGGGTAAATGATGCAGGAGCACTTTGTCAACACGACCAAGAAGTACAAGGACAACCAGAAGTAGTGAAAATTCTACAAATAGTGAACACTGAAAAACTAGCTGGATTTAAGTGTAGAGTGAAGTCCCACAAAAAATTGTATTATTGTGGCATGTTTAGTTACTCTAAGCCCATCATGTCGGCTGAAACGGAAGAAACTTTAGTGATAAGTACCCAAGACTGCAGATCCATGGCAAATACAAAAGTATTTTGACTACACAAACCAGGAAATCCGAGAGTTTAGTAGTGCCTGGACAATCTTTCATCATGGAGTTTGAGGTGGGTTTTCAAACTGCCTCAAACTCCGCCGTCTGTGCCAGGGGATGGATGTACTGCTGGACGGATCTATACAGTCAGGGATCGTAATGCATACAGAATACGAAATAACAATAGAGGAAGAACTGTTCACCAAGAACCATGATCACGTGATAGCAAGATCGTAACCCACATGGTCCAGGGCTGGGTTGTGTTGGAGCTCTTCATACCTATTCCTGGAATCCACCCAAGAGTAACTGCCTGTTTAGAGAAGTAAGAGAACTGACAGGGGTGTTTTCTACCCAGTCTTTTGCGGTGGAGCAGTCTCAGATTTATTACAAACTCAAGGGAGTTCAAAATCTACCTAATGAATGTGGAAACCACAAAGTTCAGATCACCAATGTACAAGACATTTATCTATTAAGAACAGTAGAAAACACAGAGGTCAAACTTCATCCAATTAGTCCTGAAGAGCTAAGCAATGCTGCCGAGTTGAGATCACTGGCCTTGTTTCTACGGTACATGATGGAAATCGGAGAAGGACGACGAAATGAGCTGGGAATCCAAATGTCCTGTGAAGCCAATGTCAAGGAACCCTCAGAAGCTCTGCCTCATCATTTAGGGGGAGTGGTATTTGTTTTTAAACGAGGGGAAATCGTCTACCAGTATTCCTGTTCTCAAGTAACAGTCAAGTTAATGGAAAAGGAACATTGTTACCTCAATATCCTGATCCATCAAGAGAAGGAGTACAGGTTCATCTCTATTGCCAATAGAATGCTGGTCACCTCATCATCTCAGGAACCCTGCGTGCCACATTCCTCGAAAGCAATACAGGGAATAAAAAATTGGATTAAGATAAGTCCCAAGCTCAGGTCCATTCCTCCACCATGGTCAGAGACGAAGGAGACTGCCCAAACTCATCATGAAGATGAGTTGGGCCTGTACACCCAGGCGGAGGAACGGGATTTTGACCATGTCGCCGGATTGGCTTATAATACAGCCCAGGTTCAACAGCGAATCGTCCATGCAGTCTGCAAGAATGATGAGAGCTGTGACCTAAATCCATTACCAGGAAGTCCATCATACTCTTTGACAAAACTAGAACAAGAGGCTGAAGATTTCATAATGTTGGGCAGATGGAACTTTTTTCTCAAGAAAGTATGGGAACCAGTGTGGTATGCAATCCAAGTGTATGCAACCATAGGAGGATGTATTACAACAACACAGTGGGCGTTCCGGGTCTTAGGAGTCATGGAAAAGGGACTGGGTACATGCTGCAAGTCTCCAGTGGTGGATAACAAGTTCAGCGACGCCATGCTCTTAGAGCTTATGGGGGACTCACACCATGCTTCCTCCGCCTCAGCAAGGAAAGGCGGAGTTCGTTTTAACCTAAGGAAAGGTTCTGACGGAGAGGTAGAGTTGGGAATCCCTACCTAACTCATGACAAACAATTCTTTCATCATACTCCATGCTGTTAGAATCAAGGGTGGATGAAAACCCATCCAAAGATGTATATAAGTTGGAGACTGTATCCTAGTTCATTCAGCCCAAGCCAAGTCTTATCATCAGTTGAGGACTGGAAACGAATTACAATAATTTAACCCGTTACTTTGCATCTGTTACCAACGGGGGAAGGAATTTTCCACGGAGCCGAGATTTGAACCCTAGTGACCCTTACCTAGAGAGCACGGATAACAGTGCTTTCGTCGGCAGAGAAAGCAAATTGAACGTCCATTTTGTGCCCCGGAAAAGGGTTAGTCTTGATGAAGGATCGGAGGAGAAGGGTCAATAAAATCTCCAGTAGCTCCAGGAGGAGAATTATCTTCATCTATGATTCCAGAATTAACTTCGGTTGATCCTCAGTGTGTATTTTAATAATAATGTAAAATAAATTTCTGTACAAAGTTAGTGCTTTAATCGATTCAACCTGGCTTGTTATATTGAGTTTCTCTTTGTAAAGTTTCCTTTATTGAGTCCTTTATACGTGAGTTTCTCACCAAGTTTATATTACGGGGCAATACAGAAATTTCCAGGATGTTCTGAAACATTGTTTCAGAATAAGGTACCAGAATTACATTTAAGCCTTTAAAACTTATGGAAAAACAAAACCAGTAACTAAAACTAACAACATATGCTTTTACTCATTTGTCAAAGTTACTAGTGTAAATTGTGATAAGGGAGGGGGGGGAGGTAAGGCTAGCATTAGCAGTAGCATGCATGGAAGGGGGGGGGGCAATAATACATTTGGCCTCCGGAGCTCATACCCCCCAACCTTCCACCCTGAAATGTAACAGTAAAGGGCGAAACTACAGTGTAATAGTCTAGAATACTGATGAACTAAAGTTGTAGACCAGCAATGGCTGACTTTAAAACTTTGTAAATGATATGAATTTAGTTATAATAAAAATTTTCTTTAAGTTGTACTTTAAATTCAACCAAATTTTTTCCAGTTCATGAAAAGTAATTCAGAAATTTTTCTGCTCTATGTTACGTAAGCTGGAAAATGTTTAGGTTACAAAATGGAAACTGGAAATTTTACAGATAATGTTACATAGACGGGAAAAATGTTGGGGTTAAAAAATGGAATCTTGAAATTATACAGTTTACCTTTTGTAAACCTTAAAAACTGCCTGGTTAGGAAATGGAAACTGGAAATTTGATGGTTTCCATTCAGTTAATGGGATATATTTTTGGATCAAATCACATAAACCGTAAACATTTCCGGTTTCCATTTGATCCAAAATTATCCCAAAACTCCACTTTGAGTAACAAATTTCTGAATCATTCCATTTCTTGAATGGAAATTTTGATCCAGAATAATGAAAACCCTATCTCTACCTCTTAGCCTAATTTCACCTCACCTATGGTTTCTACTTCTGATCAACAAGAGTCAAAATATTTGAGAAATTGTGAATCTATAACATGATTATTTCATGACTTTCACATTTTTTTGTTTTATGAGTTGATATCAACATATTTAAAAAGTAGAGATGCAACTAGGGTTACCAGGAAAGAAGGAAAATCGTTATGCAAAAAAATTTGTCATGAAAATTTTCTTATTTTTCACATTTTGTTTGCTCTTGAAAAATGCAAAAAATTTAGCTTTTTTTTGCAAAATTTTGCTTTAATCTCATATATGAAAAATGCAAAATTTTTGCGAAATAAGAAATGCAAAAATTTCTTGAAAAAAATGCAAATATTTTGCGAAAAAATATGCGAAAAAAATAATGCACAAATTTGGAAAATAAATACAAACTAAATGCAATATAAACACAAAAATTTTAGCGGAATTTTTTCTTTTTGTGAAACTTCCTTTTGTTTTCCCATTTTTCACTTCATTTCTTCTCAAGAAAAAATGTAAAATTTTGTGAAAAAGCTAAGGGTTTTGTTTGCTGAAAACCCTAGACGCAACTAAAACTAACAAAATAAAATTTGTTACCTGAGATTACTAGAAAATGCAAAAGTTAGTAATGCCGATGCCAGAGCCCATACTATCAGCAAAATACTTCCAGATATAACTGAAAAAATTTTCTTAATAAAAGTATTAATGGCAAATGATGGGCAATTTCCCCCCCCCCCCGTCCCCTTTTTATAACATTACTCATTCCCCCTCCACCTTCATAACATTACTCAGCAGTCAGCCCCCCTCCCCTGGTTAAGTGATATCTTGGGGGGTTTCAGACCCCAAAGGGTTCTGAGCCCCATCCCCCCTGAAAAAATTTTTCCCCTTTGTACAAAATCCTGTATACGCCCCTGTTATCTTCTAGTTTTCATAGAATTTATACTAAGTATTATATTTACCGTTCAGAAATTATTCATTTTCTCCCGCACATTCACATAAATCATGTTTCCTTCCCATCCCGTCCCTCAATTCCCATCCCTCCCTTCCCATCCACCTTCATAACATTACTCAGCAGTCAGCCCCCCTCCCCTGGTTAAGTGAAATCTTGGGGGGTTTCAGACCCCAAAGGGTTCTGAGCTCATCCCCCTGAAAAAAAAGTTTTAAGTCCCCTCTGTACAAAATCCTGTATACACCCCTGTTATCTTCCAGAACTAGTGTTCATAAAATTTATACTAAGTATTATATTTACTGTTCAGAAATTACTCATTTTATCCCGTACATTCACATAATTCATGTTTCCTTCCCATCCCGACCCTCCCTTCCCATCATCCCTTCCTTCCCACCCCATCCTACCCTTCCCATCTCATCCCATCCCTCTCTTTTCATTCTATCCCTCCCTTCCAATTCCAGCCCTGCCTTCCTATCCATCCCTTCACATCCCTCCCATCCCTCCCTTCCCATTTCAGCCCTCCCTTACTATCATGAATCCATTCCATTTCTATCTCCCTTCTCATTCTTCCCTTTCCATCCGCTCCTTCCCATCCCTCCCTTCCTATCCAATCCATCCCTCCCATACCATCCCACCCACCCTACCTTCTTATCCCGCATTATCAATGAAAATATTAAGATCAATGCAGTTTATATTATTCTGATACTTGGGGAAGGCGTCTATTTTGCCCTACTGTTATGTTCCCACATGTGCAAAGCGGTCGATAACGACCGCTCAAAAAAGCTTCCAAAATTATAATAAAGCAATAAGATTAACCATTAAAATGTGAATTATATAAAAAGTAATTACTTTAGACATATTTTTTAAAACAAAAATCACGAAAATGTTAACTTTGTAAAAAAGTGAAGAGGGTCTCACATTTTTGTCTAATTATTGCGTATTCTCTCATTACCTATCAAGATCAACAATGAATAAAAACAAAAACAAGCAAAAACATGCTTGAACTTGGTTTCTGGGTTCCCAAGTTACGCAAAACTTTAAAGAAACAAATTAATTTGTAAACCGATAAGGGGTTAAAGGGTGAATAGAGTGAGTGGTCCATATCGACTGCTTCGTACGTAGATGGTTAATAAGAAAGTGGGTAGGGGTTTGGGTTGATGGTTTAATACCTTTTTTTTGCCCGAAAGTGAACCAGTCTGGCATTCCTTCAGCATTTAATAAGGAGAAGGGCATCATAACCATTATTACATTGTCCGGCTTAGATATTAGACATGATTATTTTGTCCTCATACAGAGTTAATAAAAAAAAAAAATTCTATTTTCCCCCAGTTCCACTTGTAAATAAACACAAAATTCTAAGGTATCTGGCAACTTGATTCTTTATTCCTTATTTCTTTTTAATTACAAAATCTTTGTAACTTAATGTCTTAGATCTTAGATATTTGACATTTTAAACCTGTAATTACCTGTTCAAAGTTTAGATATTTCAAAACATTTGATACAACCAGAATAGTAATGCTAGCAAATACTAAGCTAAACAATTATTTATTGATTTTCATATATTACAATTTCATCATATTAACCATAAAGTTTAATGTAAATTAATTATGAATTGTTTAAAGACCAGACAAAAATTACAATTTACAAAATAAATTTGTTTATTTTTAACTATTCAGCATATTAGGATTATATTAGATAAAACTGTTAACCTTATACATGGTAATACAAAACTAGGCTGTGTGAATGAAATAATTGAACAATTGAATAAAATAATTAAACAATTGAATAATACATAACTATATTTACAAGAATGATAACACAGTTACTAATGGTTAGGATTTAAATGAGTAGAGATGAGAGGTAACACTTCAGGGAATCATCTGCAAATCCGAACGGAGTTTAGTTCTGACCATCTCATATGACTTGGTCGTAATAACTGATCATCCATCCTATGGCTCAAGATAGTGGACACAATAGTTTAGATCACCTCAGGTAGCTCTTTAGTTCTCTGCTGTGTAGGCATACTGGTGGGTCAGCTATGAAGGATTCTTATCACAAATCCTCAATGGTCTGCAGGGCTTGGGTACTAGTTAACCCTAGCTCTGCATGTACCATTACATTTGTTATCATACCGGTTAAACATAAATATTTAATGTTAGATATTTTCAACCCAGCTATCTATACTGTGTGGCAGAATTCTGGCCTGGGTTACAGCATGAATTACATTAAATGACGAAGGAATCTGTATTATGTTATCATCTGCATACTCTCCTTTTAACAGCAGATTAATTGCCGATCCACTCCAGCACAACATCTAAAAAAATCAAATTAATGGCCTAAATCTTAGTTCATTGAGATAAAGTGTTTACCCACTGAAGGTTTGATTAAAATTTGTGTCCTTGATCCTTGAGGATCATCACTCTATCCTTTGGTTTGGCTGAAGGTTTTTTTTATTTAGGAAAATATGTTCCCTCTGTTGTAGGCTACATTATTTACTTTGTTCTTTTTGATCTCAGAGGATCATAATTATGGCCTGATCTCTGACCATTAATTTTCCGGGATCATGAATGACTTACCATGATCATATCTGAGTGAATTCCTCTACTTTCGAAACTCTCTCCTCTAAATTCAGGTCTTCCAGAAAACTACCAGCCCATAAACTTGATGGGGGTGAAGGGGTTCCGGTCCTGGACTCCATCACAATTGATTGTCTCCATCCTGTCTCCACATTGGTCCTTGCTACTGCAGCAGCAGCAGTCAAACCCAATCAGAATATCCACAACAAACTCATAATACTTCAGAACAGCAACACAACCTATCATGGTTTCCAGTTCAAGCTACAAAGTTTTTCTATAATGAAATGGAGGTTGATCACCTAGTTCAAGATGGTCATAATCTAAAACAGCAATTACTTCTAAATGTGAACTGAAGTTAATCATTTTTGATGATATGTTCAACTCTGATTCATTAGCTGAACTCTAAAATCTGTGTTTAGTGGAAGGTAGACATATGAATTTATCTATGGTATTCATTTCTCAGAAAATGTTTGTTAACAATGAAGACTTTAGACAGATTTCACAAAATTGTGATTATTATGTAGTCTTCAAAAATCCAAGGAATGCTCAGGAGATTAGAAATTTAGCATCACAGATGACTCCTGGCAAAATGGAATTGATTTCTTACTATACCGAAGCTACATCTCAACCATACTACTTCAACTTTCCAAGACTTTCTCATTATTTGCTAAATTAAGAGTTGAGATTGGGGAGTGTGGTACATGTCACTACTTCAAAAATGATTTATTTTTTTAGGATTTATTAATTACATTACGAAACAGTACATTATTCATATATTATGAGTGCTGTATATTATTTACATATTCATTCACTGTACTAAAAGCTATGAGTCCCCCATTTTCCATCTGCCTGCTTCTTCATGTTAATCTTGTCATTGTAGGCACTCAGACCCATTTCTTTATATTTACAGAATACATATGATGTGATTCACATACTATTTTTGGTATCGTCAAACTTTCACAAGTGTTGGGAGATTGTAGTGCCTGAAGGTAACTCTTACGTTTGAGTTGTTTTTCTTTCACACACCTAGAGATTCTTAGAATCAGGTTGCAAATATATAACATTTATAGAATAAAATTTTTTTTACGAAACAGGGTAAGTATGATGAAATAGTTGGAAAGTAAGCTGAAAAGTCACCCCTCATTCATATTGATTACACATATTGATTTATTTTTTCAACTGACTTTACATTTTTTATTTACATTTAGATGGGAAAGAAAACTTTAGTAGGAACAGCTGTACATCTACAAATCCGCATGGCCATAAAAATTCATTTGTCACTGAATATCAAATTACACACTTTGCTTAGAATTTTGCTTTAGAATTGAGACTACCCATTTTCACACTTTTTTATCAATGCCTTTACCATTTCAAACCTATAGTCTATTTTTTTAATGATTTTCCGCCTAAAAGTTAAAAAGAACTAGTATAGAATAGATTTACTGTTGGGAATTCATGATCAAATGGTTTTAAGTACATTCCCGTAAAAAGTTCTGGGTGATAATCTATATAAAATCTATATTTTGTTTTATTTTACACACCTGTCCCCCTCTGACTTAGAACAGAGAAAATCCATTCAATCTTATTGAAATAAATCAATATATATAAAATCAATATGAATGAGGGTACTTTACAGGTGTTTATATCTATCTATCTATCTATCCTTCTACATAACACCCGTACATAACCCCCTGTACATAACTATGTTTGTATGTTTCTATTTATATATGTTCGTATATTTGTATACATGTTATATATATATGTTTGTATATTTGTATATATATATATATTAGCTATAAAATAAATATAAATGAGGGTATCTATCTATCTATCCTACTATCTATCTATTATCTATCTATCTATGTATATAACCCCTGTACATAACACCCGTACATAACCCCCGTACATAACGCTGCGTACATAACCCCGCATACATAACCATTGAACATAACCCTGCGTACATAACCGTGCATACATAACAACTGTACATATGAAGTAATGGAGCATGTGGTTCACAAGGGCCTTTATCCCTCCCCCTCACTTTGGCCTAGATCCACCTAGGGTGTTCTGAGACGAGTATATAAATATGTTGATTTATTTTACACCCCTGTCCCCCTCTGACCTAGAACAGAGAAAATTCATTCAATCTGATTGAATTAGTTTTGTCTAGATGTAACCAAACTGTTAAACACTTTTAATAACCAAACCCCAAAACATTTAAAGAGTGTTTATGGCGTATCAGATACACGACAATATTTTCCTCATTGTTACTCATATAGACTTTAGAATATACAATAACAATTACTATATAAAAGGAGTGATCGGCAATTTATCTCAGTAAGGAGCAAGTGGTTCACATGGGCCTAGAACGCCCCCCCTTAACCCTCCCCCTCCCTTTGACCTAGATCCACAAATGCATTCAATCTTATTGCAATAAATCAACATATATAAAATCAATATGAATGTACATAACACCCGTACATAACCCCCTGTAAATAACCACCATACAAAACCATTGTACATAACCACTGTACATATGAGGTGATGGAGCAAGTGGTTCACAATTGCCTAGAACCCCCACCCCTTTTATCCCTCCCCTCACTTTGGCCTAGATCTGCCTAGGGTGTTCTGAGACGAGTTTATATATAATCTGATTGAAATAAATCAATACATATAACATCAATATGAATTAGGGTACTTTACAGGTACATATATCTATCTATCCTTCTATCTATCTATTATCTATCTATCTATGTACATAATTCCTGTACATAACACCCGTACATAACCCCCTATCCTTCTATATATCTATTATCTATCTATCTATGTACAATGGTTATGTACAATGGTTATGTACAATGGTTATGTACAATGGTTATGTACGGAGGTTATGTACTGAGAAGTTATGTACAATGGTTATGTACAGGGATAGAACCCCCCCTCCCTTTACCCCTCCCCTCCCCTCCCCTCCCTTTGACCTAGATCCAGGTTGGGTGTTTTGAGACGAGTAAACTGAAATCTACTTTCTGCAATCCCAGTGTTAGTTTCAAAGCAATGTGCGAAAATCTATCAAGCCTTGCCGTGCTGTCATCATATCACATTTTTAGAAAACGAAACTCCATTTTAGAAAACCACCTCTAAATAACTCAACTATACTCAAGCTAAAAGTCTTGTTTTACACCTGTTTTATTGGCAAACCCTGTCAGTTTTAAAATGTGATATCCAGAGAAATTCGTAAAATTTTATTTTGTTTAATGTTATTTTACTTAAGACAAAAATAAATGATGAATATATAATTGTTGTTTATGAATAAAATACTGCAGCTATGGAAGTTGTCTTTTACTGAAAATATTTCACATCGTACTGTTCAAAATCTGATATTATTGTACAATATGTCTTGAAACAAACATTGCTTCTTTTTGTATTCATGAACAAAATCATGCAAAAATTATGACTTTTATTATGTATTCATCTGAAATTTTGTGCCAACAAAATATTTATTTTGAATGAATGCGCTATTTTGTGTAAACCTGGTTTCGAATTGATACAAAAATGATGCAAAATATTGTGCAAAACAAGTCATTCCATGCAAAAGTTGCACAAGAGAATCTACTGTGTGTGGGAACCCTGGTATAAAGAGCCCTTTAGACCAACTGAGTTTGTAGTTTAAAATTTCTCATTCAAAAAACATCAGCTACCTGATAAAGATTGCAATCCATGTATACTTGTCGAAAACCTATGTGTAACAGTGTGTAAAATTTAATTCTATATTTATAAATTTCAACATGACCTGGAAAAAGTGTAAATAGATATTTAAACTAATTAAAACATATGTTAGACAGTTTATTTGGGAACAAATCTACAAATTCGCAAAATCTTTTTGTAAATACCATACAACTTTTTTTTTAAAAAGCGTGCAAACGAGCTGTGCAAAATATGAAAATTGTACCTTTTAGAAATGCTCTGGTTCAAATGACTATACTATAACCCCCAGCCCCCCCTACTTCCTCTCCTGTGGTCTGTAAGAGGTAATCACTGGTGAGTATTATCACATTTCAAATGTGATGTTGCGTAGATGACTGCTCAGCCAGCAGTTTAAAAGGAAATATTGAACCAGGATTACTCAGTTGATAATGAAGTCTGAGGGAGAGGGTATCAACTCCATTAATTCTACGCCTTCTAATCCAGGGAAGAGGAAGGATGGGTCAGAAGGATAACATCAACCATTGACCCCTCAGAGAGAGCCTATAATCTGCAATCTATGTAGTGGTAAGAGGCGTCTTTCCAGAGCTTTTAGAAGGAAGAACAGAGGCCGAGAGAGTATATAGTCTTTTAAAGAATCAGTGTGAGGCAGGGTCCAGTGCTTATTGTCGAGACTAGAGGCCAGGGTCAACCAGCAACTGACCAATTAAGTAGAATTGTAACATTTACCTCTTTTTACATAGCAATAAAATCTTAATATAACATTGCCTCTAATTTATTATCGTAAAGATGAATACACTGATCTTAGCCGACTGTACCAAGATTTTAAACTGTAGGCTCCAGTCCCAGTTGATGTTATCCTCCTGACCCATCCTTTATCCTTCCTGGAGTAGAAGCAAGTAATGGAATTGAAACCCTCTCCTGCGAACTTCGTTATCAACTGAGTAATCCTGGTTCAATATTTCCTTTTATAATGCTGGCTGAGTGGTCATCTACGCAACATCATCTTTGAAACATGATATAACTCATATTTCGAATCCAGCTGGTTACCTCTTACAGACCAAGGGAGTGGAAGGAGGGGGGTCACATTACTGTATTGATTATGCATCTAGACTTAATTTAAAAATTATTAACAGTGAAAAAGTTTATCATACAGTTTTTGAATAAACTACTTGCCTTTAAGAAATTTTCCGCTGGGGATAAACGTTCAGGATACTAAATTAGAAATTACAAGATAGGTTACAATTATAATGTTGAATGGTATTTAGCTTAGTTATGTTATGTTTTAGAACAAATTTTTTAAACAATTATAAAAATAATTGATAATTCTGCTTAACCAACAATATTTTGATTGTTGTTTTTCCTAAACAAATGATTTTTACAAACAAAAAGATTTTTTTAATGTAAAAATGATCATTCAGTTAGAAATTAAACAAAATAGATTTAACAAATTCAAAATTTGTTTGAACCAAGAAAATGGGTTAATGATAATTAAAAACTCAACTGAAAAAAACGCACCAATCTTTTCCTGCAGTGCATTTTTTATGGCAACATTTTGATAAGGTAACATTTAACCCTATCCCAATGGAGGGGAGGGGGGTGTTTTCTACCCCTCCCCTGTAGTTGTTTTCTTAATGACTAAGAACACTTACATGAAACTCTAAAAACATCTTCACTTTTTCAACTACATAAAAATTTTTTTGCTAAATTAATCTAAGGCAGGTTGGGGTTTAAACAAATGAAAAATGGTTAGTAACTGTTTTACTTATTAAACTACAGGGCTAAAATTAATATAATTGAAAAGTCCTAGAAAAATGGATGTTGTAGCATATGTCATATGAGTATGTTTGTCAAAAGTAAAAATATTAAATTTAAACTTTTAATCCAAAATACTTTTATAACTTTTTTTAAATTCTTCATTGCACACTTACCATTAAAAACAGAGGTGTATTTTTCTAATGAGCAGACCTTGAAAAGTTGGAATATGTATCACACTACCCTATCTCAGCTTTGGGGCATAAGGAGGGTGGAGAACATCCCTCTCCCCTTAATCTTTCTTAGACATAAATTGCCCAATATGGATAGGGGGAAAAAAATATGAAACATTTGGAGTATGTAACCTATTGTTAAAAATAAACCTATTTCATTTTTATCTTTGTAAACCATAAAAATACATTATTTAGTTCCTTGACCCTAGTTGAGGTCAACTTATTTACCGGTACCTTTTTATATCTAAATTTTGACAGTTCAACACAGTCTCTTCATATTTATGGATCGCACATACCTGGATAAGTAGAGAGGACAGAGTTTAAATTATGTTAAGTTTAAGTTAAGTTAAAGAAGCGGATTTAGGTGGATTTAGGCTAAGGAGTAGTTTAGGCAGTGAAAAAGAAGGAAGTTGACAAGGGGTATGTGGGAGAACAACCCTATACCAGAAACTTGAGACACATTTGAATACTCATGATGAAATAATCCCAAATGATAAAGTGAAGAAGATGCAGTTGTCCTGCATCATGGGGTCAGCCAGGCAAGAAATAGTGCTGTTGCATGCTTCCGATTTAGAGATTCACTAATTTTGAAATAGAAGAATTCTTCACAGAACTGCTGAAGAAGTCTTCGCAAGAGAAAGATGAGTAAGGCAGGAAACAGGAATATGTAGCCAGAACTCGGAAGACTTGGAGATCCAGGGAAATATTATGCAGACAGATGAGATTATGGGTCCAAGGATATGCAGCAGCCAAGAGGAACCAGAGCTGTAAACTTTAGAATTGTTATTTGTCGATTCCATGGAAATTTCCTCCCTGAACATTTCCCTTCCAATGGCATAGATACAGGATAACAGGTTTAAATTTGATTTTTGTCCATTGACTCAATACTCCATGGAAACTTCTGCCTTGGACAAAATGGGATAATAACATCTCTGAGTTCAACAAACTACTTTATACTTCTATATACAAAACTGTGCTGGGTTTTCATCCACCCTTGATTCTATCATCATGTACTTTGATGATAGAATCTAATCATGACTGTGGTCATTAACCCACTAGCGACTGAAGAATTTTTTTTTATATTTTTCTTTGAAAATTTTATTAAGAATACTTATTATTGGTTAGATCAAGGAAAAAAAAGTAAAAAATGCAAAAAATTAATTTTAATGGTGTTTTTTTAGGGTTTTTAAAGTGGCCTTATAAGTCACTGCAGTTGCTGCAGGGTTGGTATACAGAATTTATGAAAAAAGCTAAATTAATTCACTAAAATGTTATATAAATGACCATAGGAATTATTATTTACCCAACAATACTTCTACTCTTCAATTTCAAACATTACTAATAAACAATAATGTAAAAAAAATTGTTTATTTAAAAAAACATATTATTCACACCATCCTTTTGTGTGAGAACCAAAAAAGTGGTCACAGCAAATGGCTTTATCACACTTATCACAGTAAGTTTTTCACTTTGTTGAACAACCCTCTAATGCACATCTAGTTCTTTGATTCTTCCGCACAATGAGAAGGTGCTTTGAACCACCATAGCAAATTTCATGATCTCCAATTCGCCCTACTTTGCGTATGCACACTTTCCTTCCACCATCTCTCAAGATGACATTGAAAACATTACGTCTGAACTCCAGGTAGCTCATTGAACTGTTAACCCTACTTGCTCATCTGTTTAGTTGCCAAGCACTGTGCAGAGAAGTAACAATTACCCAGGTCAAGATACTCCAGCACCATTTTTTACCCCCTATCTTTGTTCGTAAATGGTTGTTATTCTGGTCAAATCGATCAACTCCTCCCATACTTCTATTATATTTATTGACTATATCAGGTTGAGGGACTTCAACATAAGATTTAGCTTTTCTGTTGTAACATGAACAACTTCTTTCTGGAAGGTAACCAAGCAATGAGCTAAACATTGTGACTGGAGCATTATCATTCCACCAAACTACAGTGGCAGACTTATCTTGTAAAGTGACTGTTTCACTGTATCCTCTTGGTTTATTTTTGAACAAATGAACAGGGGTTAGCTTGGGGTTACCTTTAACCCTATCTTTCCACAGTGTGCCTGTATAATTATAACAGGTACCAGTAATTACATCAAGAAGTTTCATTCTGCTAAAACAATTGTCTGCAAAGAAATGATAAGGAAGAATTCTTTTACAGTAGTGTTGCTCCAGATGAACCCACTGCAGCTACATGTTTCATATGATGATAGCCTACACCTACACCTTAACAAATTAAAGGTAACCACATATTCAGATTCTGTGCAGAGACACCAAGCTTTAAAACCAAACCTTATTGGTTTGTTCCTGATAGCTTGTTTCAGACCACTCTTCTCAGAATAACTGAAGAAAGTTGTCAATATATATCTTAAAAATATGTATAAATATGTGTTGATGTTACCGAATCATAGATTCATGTGACAGATTTTGTTCTGGTACCCAGTGTTCAGAAAACTTCTTCTGTGAATGTTCAATTAAAGGGCGAACTTTGCCATATCTGACAACTTGTCCTTCCCTTATAATGTTCTGCCCTTTTGATCCTAAATAGAGGAATCTATTGATAATTTTAAATCTATCTCTTGACATGGAACTTTTAACAAGAATGTTTGCAGTGTCTAAAGAGTTACTCTAATACAATTCATAGTTTATTAGGCTAATGTATCCAGAAAGTAATAGTATTCCAAAGAACACTTTGATCTCACTGCTTTTGATTCCAGGAAGCACACCACATTTTGTCAGAGCATACTGATTGGAACGTTTGGCTATTTCTTCTAAGATATCCTCAGAGATGAACAATTCAAATATCTCTTTAGGAGATAAATCTCTGTACTTCTGGAAGTTAGGTTCAGGAAAAGATGGCGCTTCTTTGCTTGTTTTATCTCTGATTTTGTTTTCCCATAACCAAGCATCTTGAGCTATTTTAAATGCAGGTTCATCATGCATGGCCTGATTCTCAGGTGCTTCCAAAAAATCATCAGATGTATCTCTAATCAAGTGGGTTAGTTCTCCAAATTCAGCTTCCTCACAATTGAACTCATCCAGACAGAGTTCTCACTTCAGCCACTTTGGCCTATGAAAAATATTTTTATATAACATAATCAAGAATATTTACTGATGATGTGGGGCAAAATCGTATTTAAAACTTTTTTCCAACCTGCAAAATCAGCCTTGCAATTTAAGTTGGATCCCCTTCATCTTCAGAATCATATCACTCACTGCAGTCACTGTCCTCAGGGGGCTCAAGGTATACATGGGCTGTATCTATGTGGTTATCTGCAAGAAGGTCAAGAATCTCATTTACATCCAGGTTCTTAGTTAGCGCCCTAAACATATTAATTTCTTTGATTTTGATTATCATTAATTTGCCCTGTAGCATTTTCTGTTGTAATGATTAGCACTATCTTTATTATCTATGTTATCACTATATATCTTATCTATTTCAATGTTGCCCTGACCAGCCAATCTGGTCAGTTTTGATTCACCTGTATATAAATAAATTAGTACTACATGAACCTTTGTGTTATACGGACAAATACAGAGCCTTGAGTTTTGGCTAGAGATTGAGAGCCTTGAGTTTTGGCTAGAGATAGGGTCAGTTAGACTGTAATTAGACTTTGATTAGAGTAATCTCGGGACCTAGATTTATCACAAAAGTGGTGGCAGCAGGTGGGACAATCTATGAACCAGATCTAGATGCCCGAGACTCCGAAAGTATTCCGGTAAAAGAGTAAAGTGAAAACCTGGTTTAACGGATTAGCCAGAGAAGTTTTAACAGGAGAGGATTTGCCTGTGAGTGAATCAAGTGTGGCTGCAGTAAATACAGTGGCTACCTTTCAAGGATATCTGAGTTTACCCAGTGACGATTCTGGATTGGAAGTAGAGATGGAGGGACTATCTCATCCAGCAATAGATGGTATGGCAGAAATAAGGCAGCAGTTTCAGCTGCTCCAAGCCCAGCTGACAGAGACTAAGAAGAAACTGAAGGATATCGAGCAGAAAGATAAGGATAAATCATTCGCCCACACGTGACAAGAGTCAGCACCACCAGAGACACAGGACCCTATCGAAAGAGTAGTTGCAAGACTAGAACGCCCTAAGGTGGAAGATGCACAAGAAGTCTATCTGTCCTTACTGAAGGCGGAGAAGGCAGCTGGCAGAGGGGATAGGCAGACGTTACGAGATCTGAGCAGGGCGGAAGCTGAATATAAGAAGAGGCTGTTGGATTTTAGCTGTAGAGACCCATTATATGATGGTAACCCTACTAAAGTGTTTGACTGGTTTGGCAAATTAAAGAAACATCTGTCGAGATTTGAGTGTGAAACGATCCCTAACGATGCCGTGAAAAGGATGCTGCTAGACTGTATAACGGGAAAAGCATAGTCTGAGATATACAATGGGAGAAAAGTTCTACTTCCGGAAAATGCATATGACCTGTCAGGAAGTGTACAAGCTATATATGTGGAGAACCATGCAGAAGAGTGTGTAGAGTTGTGTGTGGGACAGAAGCTGGGCACAATACATAGTATGTGCATAGATAAACAGGCCTGGATTAAAGAGGAACTAAGGAGAAGTACGGCACCAGATTTAGACGAGGAGGAAGTGTGCAATTCTCAGGAAACGATAAATTCCCTGCAAGAATCGGATTTCCCAACAGAAGAGAGTAGAAGAAAGTTTATCAAGGATAGTTTTAAGATAGATGAGAACGAGATTTTGAACAGGGATGCAGAGCTGAAAGAGGAAGTGATCAAGCTTTTCCTGGAAAACTTTTCTACGTTAGCCCTTCATCCTAATCATTATGGCAAAACAGATTTACTGGAGCTGCGGACAGAATTACAGCCAGGGGCAGTACCTAAGAGATCCAAGGTGAGGCCATTGAACCCTGATCAGCATGCAAACTTGAAAGAACAATTGGATGAGTGGATCCAACTAGGGATTATAGAACCTGCAAACAGTCCCTGGGCATCGCCACTAGTTCCTGTGAAGAAAAAGGATGGGAGGCCGAGATAGGTGACTGACCTGAGGCAGCTTAATGACGTCACAATCAAGGATGCTTATCCCCTGAGGAATATCCAGGAAAACCAGCAAAAGTTGAAGGGTGCAAAAATCTTCACTTCAATTGACGCCTGTGGTGTATACCACGCGGTCCAGATAGAGGAGGGGAGCAGGGATTGTACAGCTTTTATTAGTCCTTTCGGTACATTTAGTTATATAAGGATGCCTTTTGGCCTGTCAAACACCGGAAGTGTCTACAGCCGAATGTTGAACCTGGCCCTGGCACACTTGCCTGTGGAATACTGGTTATCATATTTGGGCGACATCCTGGTGTACTCCATGGACACCTGGGACCACTTGAAGCATCTGAAGAGTATCATGGAGGCTCATACAAAGGCAGGGATCAAGATTCAACCCAAGACCCAAGACCAAGATATTTCAGACAGAGACCAAATATTTAGGACATAAAGTGAGTCAGGGCGGAGTACAGAGGTTGGATCAATATGTGAAAGATATACAGAGCTGGCCATGTCCCACTAGTTGCAAGGAAATGTTGTCATTCCTGGGATTCACAGGTTATTACAGAGGTTTTATTCCCAGGTACTCAGGTACTCGGCTTTGACCAACAGGATAAATAGTCTTAAGAAGGCAGAGAAATTTGTGTGGACTGAATATATGGAGAAGGATTTCCTGGAGTTGAAGGCGGAGTTTTCAGCAGGGCGTATACAGGCTTATCCAGACTTTGATTCAGATAAACCCTTTATTCTTACTTTGGATTGGTTGTCTTTAAACATTGCAGGGGTTTTATCTCAGACACAAGATAGAGTGGAGCGGTTTCTAGGCTGCTGGGGACGGAAGTGTAACCGATATGAGAGGCACTATTCCAACGCCAAGGGGGAGCTCCTTGCCCTGGTGAAGTGTATGAAGAAGTGGGAACATATTTTGAAGTACCGGCCCCCTTCCTAGTTTGAAGTATATCGCAAACTTGAAATCAGAGGAAACTATTTTTCAACATTGGTACGCGGAACTGGCTCAAATTGAATTCATTGTGATAAATAAGAAAGGAAGCGAGAATGTTAATGCAGATCCCTTGTCCAGAGCCAAACATTTAGATAAGCCAACAGGAGAAGAGAATGAAGAATATTAAGAAGCCAACAAAGTGGGAGAGATGAAGGTACCTTTTGCATCAGAACTGGAAGGAAACCCTGTGGAGATAGGAAGAGAAAGGCGGAAGTTTGCTGGATATCCGCCTGCTATTCATAACCTGAGTAACGAGACAAGATTTGAGATAATAGAGGGAAATGTACTGAGAAAGTTACAGGAAGAGGATGAAGTCTGGAAGGAAGTGATCAAGTACCCAAGATGCAGGAAATGAGGGGAGGAATACAGGATGTGAAATCAGTGAGACAGATATTCAATCCTACCTTGTTTGTGATGCATAATGGAATCTTATGTTACAACTGTCACACAGATCCAGCCAAAAATATGATGCATTGCATGTTTGTGTACCAGCAGTGAATCCAGAGGAAGTGTTCAAGATATATCACGAGGGCATGGCAGGGGGACATAGAGGCATGGCAGGAACATTAGACAAGTTTCAGAGAACATTCTGTGCAATGTCTGCACATGAGAAAATCTGTAGGCTGGTAGATCAGTGTTACACCTGCTTAGCTAAGGAAAGGAGTATTCAAGCCAAGAGAGGGCCTCATGTGTCAAGCTCAGTGGGCAATGTGGGGGAGAATGAATTTATAGACTTAGTCTCAATGTCAGAAACTGTGAGAAAGAATCGTTATTTGCTGACGGTACAGGATGGGTTTACAAGACTTGCTAGTGCATATCCTATTTGCAATGAGGAGGCACTGTGGCTAGAGTATAAATACATGAACATTTCAGTGTTTTTGGATTGCCTAACCAAATCCACTCCAACAAAGGAGCTGAATTTGAAAACAAGTTATGGGCTGAACTTTGAAGATTTTGCAAACTTGAACCCCTCCCTACAACCCTTCATCTAATATCGTGGAGCAATGGCATAAAACAATAGTGAGTATATTGAGAACTATGGGCAGGGAGATGCAAAATGAATGGGACCTAGGTGTAAAAGCGGCTTTTTTGGCATACAATACCATGGTACATGATAGTATGGGCCAGACACCATTCTTTGCAACCTTTGGGAGAGAAGCTATAGTTCCCATCCATTGGGTTTACCCAATACCCAAACCTGATGCCGAGAAGGATGTATCTGCCTGGACAGAGACTATACAAGAAAGATTTCAAACTGACTATGTTAGGATGAGAGAGAGAAAACAACAGACAGTGCGGAGGAACGCTCAGTATTACAAGCTGATCCTGAACCAGTTCAACATAGGCCAGTGGGTATCCTAGAATCATTCCAGGCAGCTGTGACAAACTCATGTCATACTGGGGGGGGCCCTACAAGATTATAAGGTTGATGGCCCCAGCGTTGGCTGAGGTGATTGCAGTGTTCGAGCAAGGTAAACCAAGGATAGTTAGCTTGGATAATCTTGAGGAATTTTGGGGGGAGAACATTGTGCATGGCCTACCCAGTGACCCCCCACACCCCTTGTTTCAAGGAGGGGATGAGATTACAGAAATTCCTAGCTTGGAGTTAGAGAGACTGATAACAGAAGGGGTTAAGAGTCAAGAGAGACAGCTGGACAGAACGAGACCCTGGAGACAGGAGAGACACAGCTGGTCAGACTGAACCACAGGAGATAATACAGACTGACACAGATAACATCCAGCTGTGAAGAGGGAGGGAGGGGATCCCACCCCACTCTGGATTTAGATGGAGAAGTTAATATGCAGGGAGAGGGGAATAGGGGGGCAGATTACCAGCCTCTCCCCAGCCTGGAAAATACCGGAGAACCAACCCAGCCAACCCTACCCCAACCTTCAGGTGCAGTGCCAGCCTACAGCCGGAGAACAAGATAGATATGCAGGAGGGGACTGGGAAAGTAAGGAGAGGCCAAGCTGAACCTGAGGAAAACAGCCATAACGAAAAATGGAGGAAAAGGGAGGGGATCAAGAGGAGATTACAAGATGAACCAACCCAGCCAACTCTACCTCCAACCTCAAGTATAATGCCAGTCTATCATCAGGAGAACAAGATACATATGCATGAGGGGGCTGGAGGAGTGAAGAGAGGGCAAACTGAACTGGAGAAAAACCTCCATCATGATAAATGGAGAAAGCGAGAAGGGATCAAGAGGGGATTGAGAGATATTCCTTGTGTACAATATAAGGAGTATGAAGCCAGCTGGGACCAAGAGATTCAAGCCAAGAAATGCAAAGGATCAATAAACAGTATTTTGGATCGCTGTGATTGCATGGAGAGTTCAACAGAAAACCTGGCACATACAGTACGAATTTCACCCCTTACCCATGCTATGAGAGATCAACAGGCGGGAATGATCGCAGCCCTATCAGTGCAGCCAGAACGTGCCAGTACGGCAAGTTGGCAATGGTACAGAGCAATCTTAACCCTCCAGCTACTAGTCAGTCAACAAGGAACACAAGGAGGCGTAACAGGTCATAGAGTAGTTCTCTGTTTCGTACGGGTTTAATGCTTTAGTTCATGTTCCTCTCTATCACAGTTACAGAGGGTTTTAAGGATTGGAGCAAAATAATTCATCAGATGTATACACCTGACTGCAACCTCCAACCACAGATGCCCATCTACATGATGTCAGGAAAAGAGCTGTTTCCTTCCCATGAAATGGAGTGTAACTTAACCAGAAACCAAGGAGTCCATAATATAAGGGAGGGAGATGTTCACAAGGTCAAGGATACAAATCTAGCTAGAATCTGTCTTAGGGGAAAGCTATCACTGCTAGAGGTTCTACACCAACAGTCTAAGCTGGAAAGACTTAGAGCTAGATGTGCTTACCAAGATCAGCACAGAGTTAGAGGTTACGATGTTGTTCTGCAACCCGTTGATGTCATTCAGTCAGTACCTGTAGTGGGAAGTGTCCTAAGATATCAACCTGGGGTTATAGATTACAAGGTTGCTCCTCAGCGCATTGATATCACCAATGTTGCTGTTCTAGACCCAGGGTAGTTCAAGGTTAGACCCGAGGTCATCTCAGATCCAGCTGGAGCAACTGATGGCTGATGCTGGAAAAGTATGATGTCAAGAGATCGTTAAGATTGCATTGAACGATAACTCTCGAACCGTCCCCCCTGGGATTTGTAGCACTTTCTGTTGTAATGATTAGCACTATCTTTATTATCTATGTAATCACTATATATCTTATCTATTTCAATGTTGCCGTGACCGGCCAATCAGGTCAGTTTTGATTCACCTGTATATAAATAAATTACTACATGAACCTTTGTGTTATACGGACGAATACAGAGCCTTGAGTTTTGGCTAGAGATAGAGTCAGTTAAACTGTAATTAGACTTTGATTAGAGTAATCTTGGGACCTAGATTCCTCTCATCATTCAACCCCTTTGCACCATATTAAGTCCCTACCTACACTGTACTTTGATTTTTGTCGACTATTGTATTTACTCAAAAATAACATATAAAACTGTATACCCATCCTGTGACAACTAGCCCTATAAGGCCATTTTATTTATGTATAAATAAATGTAGTCCTTATTTTTAAAATAATGCCAGAAAGTTTTTTTTTCTTGAATAAATTCAAAGAATAATTAATAATAAATTGAAAATCTTTTATAAAATGGTTTAAAATTGTTTTCTAGTAAATAAAAATACCATACCTTGAAGGCTCCTGTTTTTGTTTACCATAAATTTAGTTTAATTGTTCACACCTCAACTTTACATGGTCAAATAATTTGGAAGATGAGTAGGTAGAACTGTAAAACTGTGCACATGTGTGTCCTATATTGTTTAATGTATCATATAATGACTCCCGGGGAGAAAAATTCAAAATTGAGCAAAATAGATGAGTTTTATGTAAAATAATTTATAGGGGACGTTTAAGTCACCACAGCCGCTAGTAGGCTATTATTGTGATGCACTCACTCCA